TTACTAATATCTCATTAGAACCCAATTCATAGGTCCTCTTTGGGAAGGGCTGGGAGCCAGGGTGGGGCCTGCCTGGATCCATGATCCCTGGAAAGAGGTGTGAAGGGCAGCAGCCACCAGAGAAGTGGCTGCTTGGAACCCGGGGACAAAACCTTCTCAAGGAAGGAGGAAAGAGCCAGAGAGGGGAGGCTCTGAGAGAAGAAGCTATGCCCTACCCACCCTCAAGAAGACAGATGGACAGGCAGACAGGCAGAAGCCTGGGAGAGCTGCAGGACCAGGATGGGGCTGGGTGAGTGAGGATCCCACTCACAGGTCATGCAAGCTCAGGGTGAGGACTAAATGAGAGAGCTCCTTAGATTGGGTGCCTTCCGCTGCATCTGCCTCCCCCGGCCCCAGCCCTGCAGACCAGAAGGGAAGCTGGGAACGGCCTTTCTTGGGTAGATAGAACAAAAGCTTGCCAAGGTTTATCCCAGGTTGCCTTTCCTGGCTGACAACTTGGAGAGGCGGAAGTCTGCTCTCCCCTGGTGTCATCCAGGCTGGGCACCATTTGCAATGGTTTGTAGGAACTGATTCATTAATTCCTGTGATCACTCAGCCAAGCACGGGCTCCTAGTAGCGTTTCCTTTTATACACGAGAACATGAAGTTATGGAGAAGTTAAGGAACTTGCCCAAGGTCACACAGCTTGCAAGATGTGAGCTGGCATTGAACAGAAGGCTCAAGGGTAGGCTCACAGCTGTACCCAACCAGATAGAAGGCAGAGATACTGGCTGTGGGACCTCAAGCTGTCCTCTCAGCTCTCTGAGCCTCAGTTTCCTCATCTTGCCATGTGGCTCACAGGACTTGCATTCCAACCTCTCAGCCCTGTCCTGGAAACCCACTGCTGAAAGACCTTTACCAACTAACACTGGAGGGAGAATTGTTCCGGAGGCTCCAAAACGGGGCAGGGTCTGGGTTCCTTGTTGAACCATGCTGTACTCCAGGCTGGCCCCTATGGTCCTGACCCCGAGAGCTGTTTAACCTTAACATCAGAGCTGAAATGGATCTCATCTTACAGAACAGGAAACTGAGGCTCAGAGAAAAAGGGATGAGCCAAGAGTACTAAGCTGTTAAGACCCTTGATCGGGGCTAGAATTCATGCTTTCTGACTCTGCCTTCAAGCATGGCCATTATTTAAGGCACAAGGACAGTGCCTTGGTACACTACAGGGCCCAGAAGCTATGTGAAAATCACGTGATCTGCAGACCCCCAACCCCAACAGTCTCTAGCCAGCATTCATCCCAGGAGGAAGCAGAATCTTTTTTGCAGAGCTATTTGGATGGAATATTATAGTCCCAGGTGTCAAATGATTCCATTTGAACTTGACCAGAGCAGGCCTCCCCCCAACACTTATGCAGTCCTCTCGATTTCTCTCTTCTCGCTTCCAAGCAGCGTAGTGGAATCAGGGAGCCATGGGTTTGAATCCTGGCTCTGGCACTTCCTCATTGTGCGACTCAGTCATGTTATGTTACCCAGCAGAGCCTCAGTTTCCTCATGTGTAACATAGGGGTGGGGACTTCAGCCTGCTGGCTGGATGAGTATCAGAGACAATGGTGTGTGCTCCCCAACAGAGTGCTCTAATGGGTGAGGCGAGTCTGGCTAGGTCTCCTCTTTCCCTACACCCGGAATCCCTGGGCCAGGGGATTCTTCACCTTCTTCAACTAGAGAGAGAGGCCACAGGGGACAAGACAGGTGCACCAGCAAGGAGGGATCTGAGGGAGCACATCCCTTCCTCATCCCACTGTGGTCACCAGGGCCATGAGAAACTGTCCTTCACTTGTTGGGCTGAACATTTTCCTCAAGGGCCAGACAGGATTTTCTAGGGCTCCCCTAGATCCCCTTTAGGACAGTGTGGAGGAAACTGCTTCCAGATCTGCAAAGCCATGTGCAGTACCAGGGCCCCAGTGTGGTCTGGGGGACCAGTTGCTGGTGGCCACAGATCAGCTAAGACGAGTCCTCCCCTTCCCCTTCAGCGCTTCAGGGTGTTCTTGGCCATGGGACTGTGATCACATTTGTGCAGCTTAGCAGCACCAGCAGCACAGTGGAAGGTAGTGGGGAACATGGTGAGAACTGTGGCTACAGCCACATCCAGGAGGTGCCTGAAGCTCAGGGTGACCCGTGGCTTTGAGAAGGCAGAAGGAGCAGGGCAGGAATCCCACTGTACGAGTTGACAGAGAGACAGGAGAGGGTGCTGGCTCCATGCTGAGCGTTTGGTCAGGACAGTGTGTGGGAAGTCATCACATTCTGTGGCTTGCTTTTTTCCCCTCCTTCAAATGATAACATTGAATATTGACCGCAGCAGTAACCGCCACTGATTCAGGGTGTGTTACATATAGTCATCAGCTAGCTGCTTTGGTATTTATGAGCTCAAGAAATCTTCTGGGTAAGCGTAGGAAGTAGAAATTATTCAATATATTTTACAGATGAGGAACCTGAGCTGGGTAAGGCTCAGAGAGAGTCAGTTGCTTCCCTAGGGATCAAGGACAAAGCCAGTGTTCCAATGTGGTCTGACTCCAAAGCACACTTTTTCTTTAGGCCACAGTGCCAGCACTGCCAAGCCTTTCACTGCACCTTGGATCTCAGCCACTGCAGAGTCCTGGGGGCCCCACATGAGCTTGGGTCAGGCTTCCACATGTCATTAAACCTGGGGCCATTGTTGCCAACCTCATCCAGAGTGGTCTAGGACCTTTGGGACTGCAGTGTGGGGAAGAAAAAGCTCAGGGGTGGGTGTCAGGTAGAAGGTTAGGGTGCCTGTGTGCACAAGTCCCCTTCTACCTGCTTCTCAGGCTATGAGTCCCCAGGGGCAGGGCACAGGCCACCTGAGTCTTTCTCTGCAGCATTTGGGAAATCCCAGGCCCACTCTGCAGCATTTGGGAAATCCCAGGCCCAACTGGTCCTTAGCAGAGGTCTTCTGCCCTCTACAGGTGCACCTGGGGTGGCCACACCTATCATGCAGCTGTAGGGCCAAAGGATCCCAGTGGGTCTGAGGTAAGGACCATGTACCTGTCTGGCCTACTTTCTAGGGAAGCCCACCCACGCTGTGGCCTCATGCTGGGTTTGCCAGTATTTGAGCAGGAGTTTGTATATGATTTGGGTTAGGGTCTGAGTCTGGGGCTCTTGGGTCCCCATCATGGCCAAACCAAGGAGTATCTCAGCCATGTGGACGATGACCGCCCTTCCTTTCCCTTTTTCATCAGCACAGCCAACCCGGGGGGCAGTGTCACCACTTCTCAGGGGCTCTCAACTCTGCAAAGTTCCTATTGTCTCCATAAGGCTAGGGTGTGGAGCAGGCTTCCCACCCTTCACCTGCCACAGCCTAGACTCGGTGGTGTCCTGGATGGTGCTTCCAATTGCACACACAAACACACCTGCTTATGTGCACTCCCCCATATCATTCTCTCCTGTACACAGGTAAGGAGCAGACCCACCAGACATGTGAATCTATACATGCACAGCATGCACAGAATTGTGAGCACATACTACATATACATGGATATGTGCATACACAGACAGGCAACGCGTGGATACACACTTGCACACACATGCATTTTCTCAAATCACAGGTGAGTGGAAAGGCAGACTGACTCAGACACACAGACATCCATGTGCATACACTTATATATACACTCCTTCTCCATGCACAAGTGAGGAAAAGGCAGAGTGACCCTCACAAGCAGGTTTGCACACACTGCTGTATGTACATGCACACGAAGTCTCTGCGAAGGTCCGGCCACACCTTGCCCTGCACATTGAACCCTCGGATGGCCTAAATGAAACTTCGTGGGTGCCCTCTGACACTGACAGCTGCCCACAGCCCAGTCTAGAAGCCCAGATTTGCTGCTATGGGCATAAGCTGGATTGCCTTTGGTGCTGATTTATAGGACAAACATCTTCCACTTTGATTATGGCTGTTTTCCATAATTACTATAAACACTCTGCCTCACATGAGATTTGCTCTTAGATCTCTCTCCACTGCTTCTCTCAGAGTAGCAAATTTGGCCTGCATTAGCTCAGAGTCTGTCCCATGGGCTGTAGATGTGGGGGTGTCTTTTTTGTGAACTTTTAGGGCTCACTAAGGATTCCCACATGCGCATATCCTAAAATACGAACCTGGACCTCCCCTGCTAAAGGATTCAGAATGAAACAGCCTAGGAGGTGTCCCTTTTCCAGCAGACAGCAGAAAACGGAGGCAGGGACAGGTCTGAGTAGGGAATGCTGAGTCATGGGGTGAGGCCCTGGTCACGGGTGCTCTTTTGACACCTTCCTCCCTCCGCAGCTGAGAAAGTTTTTCTGGGATTGGTGGTACTGGGAAGAAGGCTATACCCCTAAAGGCTACAGAGGGCCTGCCACTTTACCCTCTGCCCACTCAGCCCTCTGGGAGCCCTGAATCATCATTTCCCTCTCCTTCTCTAAGCTCTGGTCTCCCCACTTGAGACTCCTCCTAACACTTGGTGAAGATCACTAGGACCCCATGCTGCTCCAGGGTCCAGAGGAGTGATTGAGCCAGAGGACAGAAAAGCCAAGGTCATGGAGCTCTGGGAAGTCTGCCAGCAGGAGATGCAGTTCAAATTGCCCATTCTAAAGAGTCCCCTCCCCATGTATGCAGTGACCTTGGAGGAAGCCCTCAAAGTCAGTGGCAAAGCCCACTTTCAAGAAACCAATGGGCTGCTCCTATTTAAAGGGCACAGAAGAGGTCACCCTCTTCTAGAACCAAGAAAGCCAGGGAGCTCTTGACTGGCCTTGCACAAGGTCACATAGCTAGCAGGTGCATAAGCCACCAATCAGCTGTGTGATCTGAAGAGCTCCCATCCTATCTCTGGGCACTGGTTCTACCAAGTATAGGATGTAGGGACCAGTCTGGAGAGGTGGAAAGGGCCGCCACTGGCCCAAGACAGTGGACTTGGCTCTGCCCAGGGTGTTGAGCATCCTCCTCTCCTGGCCCCAGGTCCCTGTCATACTCACAGGCCACCTGGACTTCAGTCTGCCGCTGCAGCAGGGCCCCCATCCGGTTCCGTACAACACAGCGGTAGAAGCCAGCGTGGGTGCGGTCCAGGCTGGTGATCATGTACCTAGGGGACAAACAAAGACAGCCAGTGAGCAAGGCAGGCAGCGCCAGGGTGCAGAGGTCAGTGGGTTCAAGGTCAGAGGTCGCAAGGTCACCTTTCCTGGAATAGAGAGCACTGGGGAGCTCTTGACCCGCAGGCTCTGTCATGGCATCACAGAAAGGTCCTTATTGGTAGGGAGTCCATCCCACAGGCCACGGGGCTTTGCACAGCCTGCACTTCCCCAGGACAGGAGGTGCTGTGCCTGCTTCTTTGACCCTGCTGTGGCCAGGCCACCTAGGGCTGTGCTGGCTCGCTTGGAGGATGCTGTCCTTCCCTGCTTGACTCTCGGAAGGTGGCGCCCTTCCCTGCCTGTGACACACATGACAGAATGGTGGGGGCATCGGGATTTTGGCCAGGTATAGGACTGTGCTGTAATATTAATTGAAGTGGGTGGAGGTGACAGAGGCAGGGAAATTTACACATTTCCCCAAATGCTGTGTCAGTCCTTCCTTGACATCACAGGCAGCTCCAGCTCAGCTTGGTGGAGGGAGGGTAGAGCCTTCTGTGATAGGCCACGTTCCACATGCATGATTCCGAGCCAGTCCTTTGGTAGCTGGATCCTGGGACACTTGTCACCCAAAGAGCTACAGAGTCTGGGGCTGGAGAGCAGGTGTAAGGTGTGCTTACCTGGCCAAGAGGGTCAGTGGGAGGGGTTTCTGACAGAGAGACATAGGTGGTTGGGAGCCTCCAGTGTGGAAGGGACTGGGTCCAGGACTTAGTTGCCCTGGTGACCCTGAGTGATCATTTTTCTCATTTCTGGGCAATGGTCTAGCATGCCCTCAGAAGGCTAAGGACTTGAGTTAGGATATCTTCCCTCAGCCCTTGGGTATCCTAGGGTTTGCCCTGGCTGCTTTGGTGGACAAGCTCATTGTCACTTGTCCCTAGGGTATGTCAAGCCTCGGATTCCCAGAATGGCTAGTTTTATTTTACGCGAGTCCTGGCCAGCTCTATCAGCAGCACCACTGTAATCATCATGACGATCGCCACCAGCCTCACTTCCCCAGGGCTGCCACGCTGCCACCCCCATCTGCCCAACCTCTCTGCTTTGGATGTTGGATTTAGTATTTTTCATACATTTCTTCATTTCACACAGCAGTTCCCAGACTACTGGCTATCACGGACCAGTAACACTTCAAAAAATGGGGATCAGCATAAGACTGTCAACTTTTTACTTTGCCAAGATCATTAAAACCAGCAACCAAAAAGCAAAACAGAATCAAATAACAAACACTTAAAAAAAAGATAAAAGGAATAATATTAAAAAGTGCCAGGGAGAAAAAAAATAAATAGATATGGTCAGCATTTTATTTAAAAAGGACATTTCTTAAATAGGACACGCACATGTAAACACTGAATAGTTTCTCTAGTGTGAGAAACTGAAAGTGCAAAGAAGGACTAAAAGTATAATAAATAATGTGAAATAGGAAGAAAAGGGGCAAAGGGGAGGGGAAATTGGAGGGGGAGGGGAAAGGAAAGAAGGGAATGGAATGAATATGAGAAAATGAAAAAAAGGGAACAAAGTCATTGTAAATAGGGAGGGATGGAGGGCTTGAAGGGAGGGCAGGGAAAGGGGGATAAAATAAGAACCAAGAGAGAGTATGTAAAGGTGCAAATTTCCAATGACGAATGTCATTATATTGTATACCTAAAATGTACCAATAAAAGGATATACAGTTAAAAAAAAATAAAAAGGACATTTCTGAGATGTCAAAAAAGAAACCTAATTTCAGCATGAAGGCAATTTCAACAAAGTTTTAAACTTAAATTTTATGCACAACCCACCACACTAGACTGACATTTCTTATTTTACATGTACGGTTGCCAACTGTCACAGGTCGGCATTGGGTAGCCTTTGACTTAATAGTCACACTAACACCATGGAGGAGGTACCCTGTTCAGAGAAGAAGAAACTGAGGTTCTTGAGTACCTTGGCATTGACCTGTCGTTTCACACACACCCAGAGGCAGGGCCAGGGTCCCCCTGAGCCTGACTCCAAGCCTGGATATGCGCCGATCGATCCTGTGTTCACGTCCCAAAGGGCCCCACCGTCCATGCTAGGTCTTCCCACACCTGGCTCCCAGCTGGGTGTACAACCAAGTTTGCTCTGGCTCTGCAGCATTATCCACCACTTTCTGGCTGCCTGGGCCCCTTATCTCCACCAGTGGCTGCAGCTCTTATCTGTTCCTTGCGCCTGTGCCCAGTGTGATGATGGGAAGAGAGCAGAGACCCAAGCTCTGGCAATCTGTCTCCTCCTTTCCCTTCATCCTGCAGCTCATCCCAAGTGCTCCCTCCTGCCTGCTTCTCTCCCAATTTGGGGGAAACTGGCTTTCTAAAGTGACAGGTGAGCGGAGAGGGCCAATGAAAGCACAGATAGGCTGGAAGGACTCTCTACTCTTAGAAATGGAATTGGATAATCTTAAAAAGCATCAGGGGGAGGAAAAGAAATAGAAATGGCTGCTAAACTCATGAAAATATGCTCAGCCTTTGTTGTAACGGAAAAAAAAATTCAAATCAAAGCAAGATAATGTTCCCTCCGTGTCAGGCTGTCAATGACTTTCAAAGCCAGTGTAGGCAGGCTCAAGTGGCGGGTGAGGGAGGGTGAATCTGCAGGTCCGTTGGTGGCACTGTAACTTGGGGAAACATCTCCCAGAATCTGAGAACATCGTAAGCTCTTTGACCCAGGAGCTGCATCCTGGGAACTGGCCTTTAGATATACTTGCAACAATATGACAAAAATATATGAAATGATGTTCCCAGCAGCATTACTTTTAATCACAGAGATAAACCATGAAAAATTGGAAGCAAACTAAATGTCCATCAACATCGAGTCAGATCAATATAAGATGCTGCAGCCCTGCAATGAATGAAGAATACTCATATGGAATAAAACAGAAAGGTCTCCAAGGTGTACATGGGTGTGAGGGAATTAGGTGAATAAGCTGGAAGGTCCCAAGGGACCGAATAAGATCCTAGCTGACTGTTAAGAAGAAGAAGAAGAAGGAGAAGAATGAAGCAGTATGAGTTGCCATTCAGTAATACAGGCTACCAAATCCTGTTTCATGGTTTGGATCATGTAAACGGACCCAATAAAAATAATTCAATATTTTTGCCAATGCCCCCCCCAAAACCAAAGAGTGCTGTGATGATACGATACTATTTGATATGTGACCATTTCGGTAAATTGAAATAGTGTGTATGTTTATGTGCCTAAATACATATGGAAACACACACTTATAATCACACGAACACACCCATGTGTACATAAAATTTTTCCAGGATGGAGCATCCAGAATATGTTATCTGGCTTTTGGGAGAGGTATCCAAGATAAGTAGGGAGGGGAGCTTCTATTTCCTGATTTTATGCCTTCCGTGCCATCAGTGTTTTCTTTATTGTCTACATATACTGCTTTTATTTTAAAAATAAAATTTAAAAAATGCACTTTGTGCTTATAATTTAAGTGTACATTATAAAAAAGGCATCAGGGACTCATTGGATCTGGATTTGTTTGCTGATGCCAGTGATGCGTGGTGAAATTTAGACTTTAATAAGTCGATTTTTGTGGAAGACTCTGTCCATTTGCTTCAGCCAGACCCCCCAGGGGCCACGAGGAAGGTGACAGGCTGTTGGCCCGTCCCCTCCCAGAGGCCTCCCTCTGTCCCCTCTGTGATGGAAGGCGGGGGTTCTGCCAGCAGTACCACAGCTTCTGTCTTGCTCCCCTAACCTCCCTTTCCCTCTGCCTGAGCTCCCTCCTTGCCTGGGAGACCTATTTTGGGCTTGCAGGTGACATTATTTAAAGTAACAGTTCCACCCACAGCCTTTCCTATCAGGGAAGCCACTTCCCTCCACCCAAACTGCAGTTCAACTCCTGGCTCCCAGGCGGGTGGAAGAGGCAGTTGGCTAAGGTCTTGGTTGGTGAACCCAGCACCCAGGAAACATCCTGATGATGACAGTGCTCCCCACAGCTTTGCCCGCCCTGCCCACCCATGGCAGCTGGCTGGGCAGGGAACTGGATAAACCCAGCCCTGTCTGAATCTGCACCACGGACAAGAGGATAGAAGAAATGGCTTCTGTAGAGGCCCAGACCTGACCCACCCAGGAGGAAGTGCAGCATGGGAGGAAGCACCAGGACTTCCAAATAGGAGAGATGTCAGCTTGGCTTTCACTTTTGCCCATTCTGGGAAACATAAGGACCAGTGTGAGCCTCAGTTTCCATATTTGTAAAGTGGGAATAATAATGGCTTCTTTGATCGGAGCATCTCCAGACAATGTGCAATGTGCATCACCAGGTGCTGTGCAAATGCTTATCAAATGAGGGAGCAAACCGAAGAGTCACTGGGGAAGGTACTGGGTGGGGGAGCTCAGGGGAGGACCAAGATGGTGTAGCAGGAGCCTCCCTCCCCTAGAATGGGCATCCATTGAGGACTCCATGCCCAGCATCAGAAGAACATTCCCTCACTCTAAATATTCCTGGGCTTCCACAAACTCCCAGCCTAATCATCTCCATTTGTACCCTCAAGGTGGAAGGGCCTGAGCCTCGCTCCTCCAGGGAGAACAGCTGTGATGGCCACTCAGCAGCAGCCTCTTTCTCATTGACCAACAACCTCATGCTCCATCCATCAAGTGAGAGTCGAAGAGGTGTGGCCTCCAGGGGCCAAGGCACACCTGAACTCACCCAGCCCCGGGCCCCTTACAGAACCACTTGCTTATTTATCATTCATTATTTAATAGAAGTATTGTCACACCCTTCAGAATTCAGTGGAACTTTTTTTTTTTTTTGGTACCAGGGATCGAACTCAGGTCTTTGCGCTTGTGTAGCAGGCGGCGAAACCACTGAGCTAAATCCCCGGGCCTTACACTTCAGAATTCAAATGCAAGAAACAGTACCCAGTAGGAAGTTTCTCCCACCCGAGTGCTCCAGCTGCCCACCAGCCCTGGAGGAAATGCACTGCTCTTCATTTCTAGA